AAAACCCATGTTCGAGGCTTTCATCGACGTACTCCCATGAAGGCCTGCATTTTAGCAGTGTCAATGAAGAGGTCATTGGAGGAATCCCCTGCTGATTATTGAAAACATTATGGGGATCTATTACCGTCTTTGCCCTAACCAACCTATCAAAGTTCTTCAAGAAGTACTTCTCACCCCAAACCCTAGCCTTCTCCACAGCATCCTTGGACGGCACGATTGGATTAAACTCCATAACTCCAAGGTCAAAATCCATGTAATTTATGTAGGCAGCCCGAGGACCCTCTGAAACGTAGGGAGTCATTGCATCATACAATTCTCTTATCCACTTTGTGTACCCATGGCTCGTCTCATTTTCTTCTTTGTGCCATTCCACTAAATACTGTATTGAAAACAGATTGCCTTTTCTATGAGGAAATGCTATGGATTCACTGCTTATGTTGTTCATGATTCCTCCGTAGGGGTCCATTACCATATACCCTTTTGGTTCTTTTTCCATTACGTTCATGGCGGTCTCTAAGCCAGGGAGGGAGATGGGTTCTCTTACGTAGTCTGCTTTTGCCTTGAAGTAGTGTTTGTCTTCAAGATACCTGTTTTTCATACCAACAAGAGCAATTAATTAAGATGAATTGCTACATGCTAACTTCAACAATATATGCTTAGACTAGCGAAAGAGAAAAATTTTAATCAAGGACTGAAATTGTTAATAATTAATGTCCACTTGCTTGAGTAGTTAGCATTTCAGCTTCAAAGTGATATTTTTGTTTTATCCGTTTGGACTGAAAAGGATATTTTTATAAAGGACATTGATACATACACCTTCTAAAAATTATATAATTCATTATACTGATGATTTTTTTTAGTGTGTCATTAAAATTGACAGAAACCGTTAGTTTTAACAGTAGATATAATGAAATTTATTAGTTTTAATGGGTACAAATAACGAAAATCGTCAATTTTAATGGCACACTAACGGAAACCATTAGTATATGATGGAATATATAACTTCGGAGGTAAATGTATCATTTCCCTTTTATATAAAAAAAAAAAAAAAAGGAAAAATTACCTGTTTTTCAGGTCTGAAAAGGAGGAGGCATTGTTTAAACCGGAGAAGTATAGGATAGACTCAATCCAGGTCATTTCATGGCAGTCTTCCTCGGTGACGTTAAGTTCCGGAAACACGCCGGTGAGGATGGAAACGGCTTGCCTTCTTGGACCCAAGAAGAAACCTCTAAATGTTGCCGAAATGCCTCTACTCTGACTCTCAGGCAGACCGGCACCGAGGAAACATGACAGGTAGAAGTCACCGTCTAGTTTGGGCGAAACATGCTGCCACTTGTTTACTAACAATGCTACATGGTGTTTGGAACCGGCTCTGGAGATGGTGAAACTGGTTACGGTTTCAGGTACTCTAAGTAACCGGATTTTCCAGGCGTAAATGATTCCCCATATGCCGCCGCCGCCGCCTCTGATAGCCCAAAACACGTCTTCTCCCATGGCATCCCTGTTCCACAACTTACCATCCGCGTTGATGAGAAGAGCATCGATCACGTTATCAGCCGCGAGTCCATATTTTCTCGACAAGAACCCGAATCCACCGCCGCTGATATGCCCACCCACCCCCACGGTCGGGCATGACCCGGCTGAAAATCCATGAACACCACTGGCCTCAGCAATGGCGTGGTACGTTTCACCCAGCGTTGCACCACCTTCCACCCAAGCAGTCTCAGTTTCCATGTCCACCGAAACACGGTTGAGATTCATCATGTCTATGATGACAAACGGAGCACCGTCGCTGTTCACCAACGAAGTTCCTTCATAACTATGTCCACCGCCCCTTACTCTAATCTCCCACAACCCTGCTCTGCAACAGAGCACACTGTTTACAAGCTGGTCCACAGTCTCCGGTAAGATAATGACCATCGGCTTAGAAATTGTGGGTTCGAGAAAGCGGAGATTTTGGATGGAGAAATTGAGAAGCTTGAAGTAAGCAGTGGATTGATGATCATTTCCTGAAACAGGGGAAATGGAGTAGTTATTTACATTATGAAAATCTAAACATGAACTGATTTGCTCTGTAGGAGACGACAGAGAAGGGAAAATGAAGGAAATGGAGAAGAGGAAGATGAAGAATGTAAGCGATGTAGAAGAAGGGGCCGCCATGGGGATTTCTTTGAGCTTTGTGAAGATGGCATTAATGGAGCAGAGTTGATGTTACTAAAACGGAAAATGATTGGTACGGTTCCCATACAACAACTCATGTTATTAAATCGAAAAAATATGATGTTGTAAGGATAATTGTTTTATATTATTTTTTTATATAATTTTTTTATATAATTTTTACATGTTATTAAATAAGTGAATGTATTTAATATTATAAATTTTATATAAATTAAAATGATCAATTACTTTAATGATAGTTACGTTATATTAAAAATATAAAATAAAAAAATAATAAAAAAAATCATTTTATATGAAAAAAAATCATCGGTACGGTTTCACAAATAAGTGCGCATGCTTCATACATAATTACTCATGTTTCATAAACAATTATTTGTGTGTTTAATTATTAAAATATAATATAA